GTGCTTAACAAGTATTTTAACCTAAAATGTATGTCAGAACGTATTGCATACGTGTAGCATTGACACTGGACTGGCCCTTTGTCTCTAGACTATTGAATTATTTAGTAGGGTTGCAACGATACAATAACACGACGATACAATACGTATCACGATACTGTGGTCACAATACAATACGTATCACGATACATATATAGTAACAGTAGAAGCAAAGAGAAAAGATATGTTGCAAATTTATAATGGCAATATTACAACTGAAAATGGACTTGGTCCAAAATGGGCATGGCTTTAAACTTTCATACCTATCACTCGCCATGTTGGAATCGGTATGAGTAGACTAAATTCACAAACGACAAAAACCGGAAAATATCATGTGTGTATCTCGTACCGTATTTAAAATATCGCGATAATCATCATTTGATATATCGTTGCAGCCCTATTATTTAGTAAAAAAAACTCTAATAGTTTTGACCACTTGGATGTCTGCATGATTTTAAGTTCTCAAACTAGAGGGAGATAAACTAGTAGTAAAATGCAGCCGGTTGATTCTTCATAAAAACTGGTGGCCAGTCTTCGTTGACACTCCCGTGAAACATTTACAGAAACAGTGTAGTACACCACAGGGGTTGGTTACAAATGTCTAAAGTACACATACTCTAAACTGATATTGGTCACAGCACACATAAACATGTTAGCATATGTGTATTTCAGACATTTGTAACGAACCCCTCTGAGTACACCGTAGTAAATACCTCCCCTCAGGGGAGATAACTCCCTGCTATATTTAATCACACTTTAACAAAGCAGGGAGAGGGAGTTTCCTAGTTAATTACACTATATACTACAGCATCATAAGATGAAATTATGTCCAGCTATCCGCTCCTAGTCCTTTGTTGACACATCCCCGGAGACTCCCGCAGGCATGTCCCGGGAATCCCTCATAATGAGTACCGGCGATATTAAAAGGGCAATTTACCATGTGGATTCCACTTTGGGGATTTCTATTTTCTTTATAAATGAACTGTAAGCATGCCTATTGTTTTGCTACAGCGCACCCTGGCGGCCATTTTTTATACTGTGTGGATGCTATTGTTATGAATGTATGCCAATTTGTCTCAACGCACCCTGGCATTCATTTATTAAACTGTGTGGGTGCTATTGTTATGAATGTATGCCAATCTCAACGCACCCTGGCGGTCATTTCTTTTTCTCTTTATTTTTCTTGATGCTCCTTAATTATGCTACTGGCATTTGTGACGTCGAGTAAGATTGCTTAAAAGGGTTTGATTATATGTAGAAAGTAACATAAATATTATTGTAGAATGTCATATCCTCCCAATATTGACTGAACAATGGTATATATGAAATGATAAACTAAATTTCTTGGGTAAACATGTCACAACATTGTTCATACGGTGCTTCCTTATATCGGACATGTAGTGATTATTTTATGTCACAATGTGATTGTTTCTACTAGTGGACGGTCAGTCTCTGAGGTTGGCCGTAGCCTTGAAGCTTGAAATAATTTGACGCGGTCAGGGGCCCAGGGGCTTAGCTGGGATCTATAAATCTTGTATAGGCACTTGAGCAATTTGGTAAAAATGTATGCCGGTTCAACGACAGCAGTTTTTAAGTTAAATAAAACCAATTAATAAATGTACTTGTGCGTTTTATGATTAAATATACAGAAAGTACGAAATTATATATGAACGAGTGGTAATAATTAATTTTAAGATTTTAGCATAAGTTTTCAACTAATTTCCTCTGACGACAATATTTATGAAAATATTTAAAGGAGAATAATCTCTCATTGTTATCCAAAAATCTATAAAATTGATTTAAATTCTTATTGGTGGGAGAGACGTTCTTGAAAAAAGAAAACACCGAAGCGTAAACAAAGTGAGAACTCAAAATTGATAAAACGAGGGTAAAATTTCAACAAAGGCATTTTACCCTTGTAAAAATACAATGAAAACCAGACCAGGTGTTCCGGAAGAGATATGCTACGTCCACAAAGCGAGAACTGGGTTAGTGACAACAAAACGACACTGATAGGCATAATAAACAACATCGACCTCCATATCACACAAACTTGCCAATAGTCTTCATTAAGCTGCATCTTTGAAAACCCTGTATTGTAACCTTGTCTGTCAGCAGTCTACATCTATGTCTACTATCAAGAAAGAGAAAGATCACAATCGGAACATCTAAATAGTCACGCTGATCGATTCATTTTGTTTTGAGAAAAGATTGAGGAAAGTGACTGAGGTACTAAAGCCTGTAGTGTCCGTAATATCAAGCTCGGGAGGGTATATAAGATCGACGCGGTCAATATAATTGTTATTTAAAGACAACATAGTGTTGATATATTTGAATATCAAATCGAAAGACTTGCAATAGGCGTTTTTTTTGTCCTGATTGCTTATCAAATTAATTTAGCCTCGTATAAAAACCAAAAGAGTCGGCGAGAGAAGGGGTACAGTTTCTTCTCATAGGAATGCCTACAGTCAGCTTATTGATGGAAAGTCTGGACACCGGACTTAATAGAGAACTCAACCAGGAACTCAATCATTCTCGCAATTTCAACATCTGATTATTTATTTAAGCCTTAGTGATACTTTGCACAAAATATGCTCAGAAATTATTTACAACCATTTAGGTAGGGTTACCTTGGTTATCAAGCATGCTTAGTTCTGAATGGTCACCTCGTCTTGTTGTGATCTGCTAGCCTACCTCCGACTCACTGGCACATGAACATTTGTTACAGCTATATTTGGACGTAAACTAAAGGGTTCAGAGGAGTTTTACATGTTTGGGGTATTTGGATCAATTTTCGGTAAAAATGGCGCCCCCAATGATGATATATTTACCTAAACCCCCAAAACGTGTAAAATTACTCTGAACACCTTAGTTTAGATCCAAATGTAGCTGAAACATATTCGCATGTCCCTATGCTCCGACTGATATCATATGCGAACCACATCGAGGTAGGGTGGGCATTGGAATTTAAGAATGGCGCCTTATTTTGCGAAGCCTCGGAAAACGAGACACAGTTTCACTGTGAGGGGATCCTCTGATTTGTTCTTTGAACTTTTAATGTTTCGAATTTGCCGGACAACAAATGTATTCCCCGTTGGTTGTGGTAATATCATTATTGTTTAATGCCATCTTGAAAGTTGAATTGCACTTATGTGTTACAATGTGTTTTTGTATGTGGAAATAATGTGATTTTCCCTATTTTGTAATTGACATATATAAGCATCCTTGATATAATCTAATCTTTATTTTAGTGAAAACACACATTCACTTTTTCAAATAAAAACTCGACAAAATCATGTGTAGGCACGTGCCCACTCGAGCCTAAGGCAGCTACGCTACTGGCGGTTTACTTGAAACGTACATTTGTAGTTGTATCAATTGTCAAAGGTCAGCAATTGTAAATGTTAAGCATACGTTATCGCTTACCATATACAATTTTGACGTCGCACTGTTCTCAGCCCAAGGCGGCCGCGGTTGCCAAGTGGTTAAGGCGTCTGAAATTCTGCTACCACCAGCCCTCCACCACTGGGTCGCGGGTTCGAGACCTACGTGGGGCAGTCGCCAGTTCCTAACCTTAGGTCGGTGGTTTTTTCTCTGGGAATTCCAGCTTTCCTCCAACACCAAAACCTGGCACGTCCTTCAATGACCATAGCTGTTTATAGGACGTAAAACAGAAATACACAAAGTTCTCAGCTTTTCGGCTTTTGAATATTCGTTGTTTGGTTATACTTCAAACCTATACGGAAAGGCTTTTTATTGCAACTTTTCCACTTTTTCTGTTTTCTTTTAATGTTTTGGAACAATTCCATGGTTTTCATACTTTCGGCCTTTTGTACCACTGACGAATTCTAGAAGGACAACATGGCAATGTGGTGCAATAAGCATATCATTTGTTTGGCTATCCGCGTCCACTTACTATACTTTTAATTTTGTCTTACATTGTTTTCTTACTTATAAATATATAAATATGTACGTCTGTCTGCCAGAAAGAACGGTAGTCTAGTGGTAGGACGCCGGGCTCGTGACCGAATGGTTACGGGTGCGAGTCACGGCACGGTACGGCACTATGTTGTATCTTTGAGCAAGATACTTTACCCCGCTTGTTCCAGTCTACTCAGCTGTAAATGAGTACGTGGTTGGGCAGTACTAATGTTGTTGAATGCTAGCTGTTAGCGCCGAAATGGCAGCCCGGCTGTATGCTCCTCAGTGAGTTGTGAAATGTATTGGCTGGTTGCAAAGGCCATATAACCACGTATAGTAATTTGTGAACCGCTTTCAGACGACCTACGAACTAAGTTGTGATAAAGCGGTATATAAGAACCTCGAACTATTATTATTATTATAAAAAGGGTAAGGAAAATCTACTGTACAATTAGATCACTTTTTACGATTTCTATCACAAAATGTAAACTTTCCTTACTTTCTTTCAAACATATCCACGCTAAATAGCAATATATACTACCGAAGATCTTAAAACTGTTAGTAATTAATTGCTTGGTCCTGGTGTTTTTTACTTTGACATTTCAGGAAAATAGCTCGCGCCAATGTAGGGTATTAAATTAAAAAAGGTCGCTTACATTTGTCTCTTATTTGTTGAACTATGTTATTAAATTCTATGACAAATCTCGCGGTCACGTAACAGTGAAAATTGACAGGCTTTGAAGTCGGGCGCCTCTCCTTTGTAATCTTCAAAGGACAGGTATCAACCTAGCGATTGGTCAGGTGTTTTTTTTACCTGAGACCAATCAAACAGCTATATTCGTGCCTTCAAATTCTACCTACAAATCCAATCTTTTCGAACCAGGCGTTTGAAGCAAGCCTGAAAACTAAGTTAATTGTATGCATGATTGACAACATGATGTTTCAAACGTTATCGCTGTGACCTTTTGTAGAAACGGCAGATGAACTTGCACATCACACTGAAATGGGTTTCTAAATGAAAACAAAAACTTCAAATACAAAAGTATCTACAATTTCTTTTTATTTGTATCAGCATGACACTGAAATGAATTTACTTGGACGTGAAAATTGACGTAATAGGCGTGTATGTTCTCCCTGTAATAGATCTGTCATACGCCATTTGTTTGTTTTGTAAAATCAATATTGAAACCTTTTGCAAAAAAATGAACACGTTCTGTTTCTTATATATGCATAACAGACATTAAAAAACTGTTTATATTGTACGACGGATGTTCAGATTCACAGTATGTAGATAAATCCCGAGGACTTCCGGTGTAAGCGTTTCTTCCGAATAGCTTCAAAGATTGCTTGTAAGCATGTTTACATAGCACAGATCAACCTTGGGCAATATACTTGTTTATTTTATAGACGTAGTTGTGTTTTCATTGTATTAAAATGTCGAAACAGGTAGAAAAGAAACAAACAGGATGAACGCACAGGAACTAGTTCGGACAGATACATCCTTAAAATTATTGCATTGTTTGTCATAAAATGACAAAATGTTCGTCTTTCGTCCCCATACTCCCTCCCGCGACCACTAACCGACCCCGCCACTAAAAGTCTAGCCCGCACGTGTTTCGAGGGGCTCATCCCTGTTGTAGACCCTGTGAAGCAAGCGGCCCTACTGGACGGTTCACCTGTGCCCGACCGGCACCTATACTTGGTTGAGCGGGTTGGCGGACGTTGGCCATTTGTAGACGCCGGAGCACTTGCAGAACTTGTTGTTGCAGCCTCTGGTTGAATGGATCGTAATACAGTCGACAAAGCAGGCTTCTTTGTCCTAGTGAAAAAAAAGCAGTTGTCAGCCAAAACATAAAAATGTAAAACATAAGATATAAAATTACTGTTTTTCCTATATACAGGAAGATTTGATCTATATTTATCACATACTGTACTGTGTTATCCAGTGAATATACCCATGTCGTGGTTTTTTTGGCGTATTAACCCATGTAATATGATCTATCAGTCCTGTGATTGGTGGTAATTATTGTTTCAGTTGTGACGTCACGCCTAGGACAAATACATGACGTCACAGACTCACGCACTAGATCAAAATGGCGACTTTTTACCGTTCAAGGTTGCATGAAAATAGTCGTTTTACACGAATAAATGCCACAAATCTTGATTATGTGATAAAAAGGATCTTACACAATTAATGAAACTCGTCACGACTCTATCATTTTAACTCGCCTCTTCATAACATTTACAATGACAATTATACATGTTAACTTCATACTAATTTGTACATAACCTATCCATCTATTGGTGACGTAAGAATATATTGGTGACGTCATACTTTATACCCTATGTGTTAGGGTCGGGTGCCTTACCTTGGAAGCCGATAGGTGAGACAGGGTCAGATCTTACATCCACCCAGTACTGGCTATAGGTCTTTACGACTGTCGCTCTGTGAAACATAAGGTCGACGATGCAGTTTTATCTAGTCACATAAAATACGATTATAGTGGTAAGCATTTGGCATTTCTATTGTTTAAGCAACGATGAAGACTTCAATAAGTAAAACAGCTGTAGACTATATTAATTCTATACCATTCACAATAATTTTTCAGTTATAAAATCTAAAACATAACGAGTCATTTTTTTTTTATTTGAACCTTGTCAGTATAGTCTGACTGTTCTTGAAAACAAGTAGATCTAATGTAGAATTGTAACGAATGCAATATTCTTTTCATTATATTACCAAAACTCTATGACAATTATTGCATTTGGACGGTGTCAATATGATAATTTATAAAGTACAGGAAAACAATGTCGACCGCAGTCGAAGACAAACGTTGATATTATATTTTTCCGTAATCCAGAAACTGATAAAAGTATAATTGCTGATTTGTGTAATTCCTTGTTTCGGTTTTGTAAGCAAAATCGACAAATTTTGGTTCTTTCGGGTTATCCTGGCCATGATGATCAATGTGTGTTACAATGCCACAAACTAGTTTCCATGGTAACTCTTTGAGCAAAATGACGTCATAGAATTTCCCATCAAAAGACCACAGCTTTGCATGTTCACATACGGTTCAAAATGATTGTAAAAACAAAACTGCACGCAGCCATGTGTCAGCGAAGAGAATTGAAGAACGAAATTTGAAATATATTCGCAAAAATAAACGTCACCTCTTAAAAGGTTTAATGAAGTCGTGACAATTTTTTCTCATCATGACATCAAAATTGAAATAAGTAAAACATCATACGTCATATTCTGATCTATACAAATGGAAATTACGTTACATGATTTTATTCAGTCCAAAACAAGAGAGCTAAATGGCAAAATTGCATACGTACACAAACTGAATATCTCCTAGATTGCATCCTACCGGAAGTATGAAATCAACAGACACTTCCGTTTTGTTGTTATTTCCTGTATGCGTGATTCCCCCGACCTGACCGACGGCTGCCCGACACAAACGAGGCTGAGAGTTAGAGTCAATTGATCGGAAGGTTCCGTACGCAGGTCTGTCCTGGGAATCTAAAGGATAATTGTCACGTGTCGCCTGGATGAAAAACCCCCTGAAGAAATCACCCGGCGCGGCCTTTAATGTCACTGAAAAAGATAAACATTATGCATACATTAACTCACATGAAAACATAAATCTATATCCTTCCAAAGTGAATTAAACACGTTGTGACTTGTATTCAATCATTATTTGTCGTCTGCATTTTTGTCGTCTTGAAAAAAGTGTGTTTGAGTTATGTATATAATCGATTTATTCATATCGAAGTTACATCTGATATACTAAAGCGATTACATTCTTCTCTTAGGCGTTATACTGTCTGACATAATAATATAAACTTTATTTATTTAACAACAATTATGAAACAATTTATTTCAACTTATATTAATCACTCTTATTGGCCCGGGTGTAAGCGCGTGGGGGTCTTAGTGTGGGAGGAAACCGGAGTACCCGGAGGAAACCCACGTGGTCGGGTAGGTGACCCTAACCTTTTCACGTCCGATCGGGGAATAGAACCCCGGCCGCCTTAGTGAAAGGCAAGTACGCTATCCACTGCACCATCCGACCACCCTTCTTGAAAAGAAGTGTGTTTGAGTTATGTATATAATCGATTTATTCATATCGAAGTTATATGTGATACTAAAGCGATTACATTCTTCTTTTAGGCGTTACAATGTCTGAAAAAGCGGTCTTATCGTGAAAATTATGTCATAACCGTTGGCTCGGTCAAAATAGCATCCCTCAATAACATTACACCACCATTTAACCTTCAACAGCAGTCACTAATAGAAAAATATATAAACTATAGTGTATGGTTGTTGGTTTTTAGATAAACGTAAACTAGTCGTGAGCTGTACCAGATTATCACACAAAAACTCTTTTTAAATGTCAAATCTTGCCCATTTTATATATTACTGACTGAGTAACATGAAGATGTAGATTAATAGAATCTATCGCTACTGGTTGTGTAAGATAGAGAAATCTCAACCCGAGGACTAAGATTTTTTGTCCAGAACGAGGCTTGCCGAGTTCTGGACAAAAAATCTTAGTCCGAGGGTTGAGATTTCTCTATCTTACACAACCAGTAGCGATTGATTATTTTTCTCCCATATCTAACAGTATTTTAATGTGAAATAAAGGTAAACATGGACCCAAAACACATACAGGCAATTTGTTGATGGATTGTTGACGTGACGTCATTGTATTGTTGAAGTGACGTCATGCCATTGTTATGAATAGGGGAATCCCCCCCGTCTCAACCCTAGGGCGGAGACAGATAAATCTAGCACCGGCAAAACGGGAGATTAATCTGTCAGGTGTGGGAGAAACAAATATGGTGACTTTAAATACAAGCTTTATCGTGAAAAGTACAGAAGGGACCGTGTGTTGTGGAGACTTTGTCGAACTAACATTGGTCCCTCCAACCCTCACTCAAATGTTCTATTTACCCTGTTACACAGAGCTAACATTGTGCAATGTGTAATGAAATTATCAGTCAATTACCAGTGTACTAAAATGAATTTTACTACTATCTTCTTGTTCGAGACAATGTAATAGGTTTACGTTTTGCATATGTTCTGTGCGTGCATGTACCAGCCATGGTAAACAAAGTTTAAATCGAGGTCAAACTGAGTTCCTCGGAATAGATGCTGGCGCCTTTATGCTTTATTTGGTAATATGCAATCTATTTTAAAGATATAAAAAAATGTACAATAAGTATTCCTCCGCTTGCAACTGTAATTTGCGCTTCGTTGGAAGATAAACAAATTACCCGCTTGCAGTAATAAAGCACTAAAGGGATAACTAAAATTAAAATTGAATCGCCATGAACTCGTGACATGCTTAAACCGAAACGAAATTGTAGGAAGTGACATTATATAATTTGTTCGGTGCCTTTCTGTTCACTTCCGGAATCATCTCCTTGTGTATAAGTCGTCTGAGGCATCATCGCGAAAATTAGATAATTGCGTTAAATCTGAGTTTGAATTTAAGGAGTTCGTGGCAGGGTTAACATCCTCAACAAATAATCGAGCATGTCGGGAAGGGTTTAAAGAACGATTGCCGTCATTTGCATGCCTACACCTACCACCAAGTATAATAACACACATTTTGTGATAAGTTCACATGTCTTAAGTAGTTTATAGCTGTACATGCACACACATTGGGAATTTTACCAATATATTAATTTGCCTAAGATATAAACTGCAGCAGCATTATCAGAAAATTATTTTGGGTGACGAGACAACCGATATAACTATAAAGCTGATGTTCGTATGTCAAGTAGAGTTTATTCTTCACAAGTAGGGATTATGCACTAAAAATAGACGTGTAATTTCCCTACATTACAACGGTTTATAAAATTTCGCGTCGAAAATGACCCATGGATATATGTTAGTAGATGGATAATAATAATGTTAGCCCAAAGCTTAACTGTAAAGATACCAACATATTAGATTACACCATATTTTCGTACATCTCATTGGTTGAATCATAATCACGTGTCGGGAAGTTATTTGCGATGTTGACTCGGTGTTACTATTTTAAGAAACGATCGGTCAGTATTCTATTGATGACGTCATTTCAACAACGTCACCATGCTCTCTGTTAAAAGTGTTATTCACAATTGTTGTTTAATGAATACAAACATCAGAATTTTATAAACCATACAACAAGTAAAGATTTCTATTTCGGTTGGTGTATGTGGTTATATAAATCTAACAAAGTCATATTGGAGTGGTCGAACTTTGGGGTGGTCAGGTGGCGCAGTAGATAGCGCAATTGCCTTTCACCAAGACGGCCGAGGTTCGATTCCCCGATCCTCGATTCCTCCCACAGTATGCCGCCCCTAGCCTTGCGCTAACATCCGGGCCAACAAGAGTGATTAGAATAACTGATAGAGATATAATTAATGTGCATGTTCGCTTAGGAAAAAATAATTGATACACTTTAAAAAAGTATGCAGTCGACAAACGATAACAAAGCTGGTATCCAATTCAATATAGTTTGTTCTGCAGATAAACTTAGCTGACAACATAGGTACGAAGTTCATGTAGGATTTTATATCGAATAGATTGATTTTTCGATCCCATCTAGTAAGATTAATACACCTAGTTTGATTTCATTCCAGCAGAAAAGCAGTTAAACCCAAATGAATATCGCCCACACCACGAACACAATTTGGTGAAGATGGCGTGCTACATGTAATGTGTGGGAGTAAGGATATATATGTATAAAACGTATATCTGCGTGAATCGGAAAATCGTCTGGAATAAGGATTAAATGAAAGATTTTAAAGCAGACGCATTGTTTTTGATCTAATTTGGTGAATATCATCAAAATTCAATGAAAAGGTCATTCAGACCACGTGACAGGATATTGACTAACATTCACATTTTGTTTTGATTTTGTATTTTTTACGGCTCATCAACAATTTAAATAATTTAGGACCAAACAACACTAAGAATAGACGTTCATGAAAGGAATATGTGTGACTTAATTTAAAGGCTTAAAATGTGTGAGTGATATTTGTAATTGGTTGTAAAACATGATATACTGGGTTTTTTTTGTGTGCAAATTAATTGAACGTAAATAATGAATACATGTGAATAATAAGCACTTAAACTGTATAAAACATGTTTTACCATAAACGTTAGTTATTTAAAATGGAAAAACGAGGCTTAATGAGCTTTTCTGATCAAGGATACATCAACGACATCATATTTGTGTTTGTGTTTGTTTGAGTGATGCTTTAAGACACAATGTCGGACATATTTGCAGATGTTTAAGAATTGGAAGATCAAGATCGAAGTTTTGACATTGGGTTAACAAAACGTTTGTATTCTATGACGCATAACTCCTACGCCCTGTTAATAGGATTCACACGTGACTAATATAGTATTTGTTTTCTATGGTGGGAATAAGATAATTCCAATATTGTTCCGACTGCTTAATATTCATTCATTCGGGCAGTATGCTATAATCAACGATCGATCACCTACCAGAAGCCATGCCAAGTCAGACCGAATGTCCAACACGGACAATAATACCAATGTCCGACAATGACCAGCCAGTACTCCGGACAATAAAACTGTCTGCCCTGACAAGTTAGTCATGTCTATATGGTATAGAGTTACGTATGCCGTACGTCCAGAGTAATGTGGAAACACCGATCGTTAACTGTAGGCCTCAATAACATTGTATGTGGTATAATAGGCATCGTGTTGTTTAACCACTACAACGAAACCTGTGTTATTGGACCCCTGAGTATTTCGACATCCTGTCTTATCCAACATAATGCTTAAATCCAAAGTATAATGAAAACTACCATATACACGACCTTTATATTCTGAAAATCTATTTAATATAAACAATATATTACAATTAGGTTACACAGGGTGTCGGATTAACCAGGTGAATCTGGCCAATAGATTGTGTGTCACAGGGTGTCAGATTATACAGCTTCATCCGACCAATAAAGAGCGTCCCATAGAGTGTCGGATTATCCAGGTTTCACAGTATTGTGAAGTTCGACCACGGTAGTATTTTCCTTCAGCTAACTGAAACCTAATTTAGTCTCACGAAATCCTGAAACCGCCACTCTAACCTTTAACTAAAGTTTTATAACCTCTAACCTTAAACTGAAGTTTTATAATCTCTAACCTTTACCTGAAGTTTTATAACCTCTAACCTTTCCCGGAAGTTTTTATAACCTCTAACCTTTACCTGAAGTTTTATAACCTCTAAACTTTACATGCAGTTTTATAACCTCTAACCTTTACCTTAAGTTTTATAACCTCTAACCTTTACCTGAAGTTTTATAACCTCCAAACTTTACCTGAAATTTTATAACCTATAACCATTCCCGGACGTTTTATAACCTCTAACCTTTACCTGAAGTTTTATAACCTCTAAACTTTACCTGAAGTTTTATAACCTCCAAACTTTCTCGAAAGTACATATTTCCAAACTTGTTAATAAGTTTATATTTCCAAACATTCCCGTAAGTTTTATAACACTCAACCTTTCTCGAAAGTACATTTTCCAAACTTTTTAATAAGTTTATATTTCAAAACGTTCCCTGAACTTTTAT